TCAGATACAAAAGTTACATTTCTTGTTATATAGGTCTTGCTTTATCTTGGTCTTAACAATCCAGCAGATAAGTATAAAAATGAAAAAAGTATGAAAAAGAGGTATAAAAAGTAAAGCCATATTAATATGCTGAGCTATGAAAGGCTCAAGTCAACAACTCCTGACGTTGCCAGTCCTATGGATAACCCAGTACTAGTATGGACTACTGAACTATATTGGATTGTTTTGCTGAATTCATGCACCTACAATATTTAAATGACAATGGAATATCCATCTCTAACAAAACTAAACAAAAAAAGGGAATACAAAGGAAGGATTATTTTGTATGTGTATATACAAAATCAGTAGGATAGATATACAGCTCCTTTCTCTTAATTCAATGAATAGAAAGATTTGTACTAATAGTATTTGGAGAGGATATCATGTCTGCATCTTGTACTATGAATAACCACTAAAAATATAAGAATATGCAATGTATTAATTGTTGATACTGTCCTGTTCAGTTTTGAAACTGTCTCATTGCTGTCTGTTGCTCAATAACATTAATAGAAAAAAGAAAATTAAAAAATATGTTTTTAAAAAATATATACTGGAGTACTACTCAACCATAAAGAAGCATAAATTGGAAGGATTTCTGTGTAAATGGATGCAACTTGAGACCATACCCTTAGCTGAAACAAATTGATATAAATAGGGACCAAAATGTTATTCTTACTCTATAGTTCTCATTCCCTTTTTACAGTGTTTTGTAGGTACCACACCTACTTTTCATATTTTTATTTCTTCTACACTATTAACAATAAATATGAAGAATAATGTTTTCTAGAGCCCAAAAGCCTTAAATAGAACCACTACTTCCTTACCTACTTAGTGGTCATCAAGCTTTCAACACTAAGACTTATTAAGGAGAGAATACTACCACTAGAAGCTAAGAAGTGGCTGGCCTTTAAGGAAGTTCAGAAGGTGATCTTTGTCTTGGGGAAGCCACTTATGGTAGAAAACTGCTTGTTAGCCTTGTGAATTTAGAAACTTTATCTTAAGTGTCTTGAGTCAAGTAGCCAAGGAGAAATGTAGTAGAGTACCAGTAAATGATATATGGAATTTCAGTTTATTAATTTATAATAACAAACAAACTTTTGAGGAAACCAGGTAGTATGTCAGTCATCAGTCTTCTCTCTGTGGGAAAACTACTGCTTTGAAATCACATTATTTCAAAGTGAGTTAGTGAACATGGAAATTGAATCAGTTCTTCGAGTTTGAGTGTTCCTTTCTGGCTGTGGTGCTTAAGGAGCCAATCTCCATAACAAAATTATACTTTTTGGGTAGTGCCTGAATAGGAGCTCCCCATACTTCCTTCATGAACCTAATTTTATACAGCATTCCTTACAAACTGGTCTTGATGGTTTATTATTTCATTAGATATATTAATATGTCCTGTTATCCACCTGTGGCTGGAAATCTTGAGTTCTCCTAAGGGAACTTGCACATCTTTACTCTTATCCATTGTATATTTATAGCTTAACTATTAATAATTTTAGATGTGGTCCAGGTTGTATCTAACAAAGCTTATTAAACAAAAGTTTGAACTAATTATTTTTATTAATATATCTGATGAACATGAATATAAGCATTTTCAGTAACTATTTTATGACTATATTAGATTATCAATGGATATATGTATGTAGAAGATATACAATATTTTGATAGATATACCCTCTTGAGTATATTCAATGTATAAAAATCTTGACTATGGTTTCATTATTTATTTTATACTAATTTATTTCTAGCTTTTTAGTCATTTTTTGCCAACATATCAACAGGCCTAATCCATCAATTGGAATAAATTCTCTAAATTTGTAGATAGAATAAAACTGAAAACTTAAAAATATATATAAAGGTCATAGTAATTTATGTGAAATGTTAGCTGACAAATTTCTTTGTTCTTACAGTAGTATTTTCAGATGCTTAAATTGTTCCTGTTCCATTTCTCCTGCTGTATAATGGTTTCAGTGCTATTAGTTTCCTTTTATTATATTTTATAATAAGAAAATTATTTTAAAATTCTGTGAAGGAGTCTGTAGTCTTTGTCATACTTTCTAAAGGATCCACAGTGCAATCAAAGCAAAGATCCCCTGAAATAAAGGAGGAGCTGGGAAAGAGAAGCAGAATGAGTTTTACCATACAGCCTGACCTGGGACCTGGAAGAAGGGAAGTAGAGGGATAGAAGAAAGGAGCACAGTTTAGAGGAGAGTCATAAGGCCTCAGAAACCAACACTTAGTTTCCTACCATCTTAGGCTTTTAAACATGTTTTGGTAAAATCAAAATTATTTTGAACATTTACTGAATTGCTGTTTTGAGAACTTATCTTTCTTTGAATTGTTGGCTATGTTGGCTAGCAACGTCTCCCCCAAAATTCATATGTATAGCATGTGTATGGGTATGTATAGGATTGTATAGGTAACTTTCCAACTCTGTTTTAAAAAATGGGTGTTTTACTGTAATGAGACACAACTATGATGTTGGCATGACCAAAAAGAAGTATTGAAGATGTGAAGAAATGATAACTCTCACATATGATTAGTGGGGATATAAAATGATATAGTGAGTTTGGAAAACATTTCTGATTGTTCTTCAAGTAGTTAAACATAGAATTACCATATGACCCAATAATTCTAATCCTAGATATATACCCAAGAAAAGTAAAAACCCTATGTCCTCAAAAACTTGCACATGAATATTCATAGCATCATGGTTTATAATAATTAAAAGGTGGAAACTGAAGTTTTCATTAGCAAGTGAATGGAAAATAAAATGTGCTATATTGTAAGACTGGCCAATATTTGATGATAAAAATTAAAGTATTGAGACAAAGTACAGTAAAGACTCCTAAAGACATTATGTTCATATTTGATGCCTAAGTTTGATCGCTAACACCTCCAAAAGAAAACTCATTCACATGAAATATCAAGAATAGACAAATTGACATATAGAGAAAATAGATTTGTCATTGCCATCACTAAGGATGAAGGTTAGGGAATAGGGAGTAACTGTTTGTGGGTATTGTTATTTTTGGGGTGGTAATAAAAATATTCTAATGTTAATTATAATGATGGTTTCACAACTATGCTTATCCTAAAAATCATTGAATTGTTCATCTTAAATGGCTTATATAATATACAGTATATATCTTCATAAAAGTTAAAAAAACAAGGAAAGGTGTTTTTATTCAGCCAATACTAATATCAGGAATTTGAAATTTTTGCTGTCTGACAGCCAGACACCCAAACTTTTTCAGTTGCCATTGTGTTTGTTGCCTTGCAGTATGTTGTTGTCTGGTTAACCACAAATCGCGGTTTATTTAATGGCATAGAAATAATCTACATTAGTTCATAGACTCTGTGGACCTATGTTTGAGTCTGTTTCAGTGAACTACTGGATGTAAGTAATGGAACCATTTTTCTTAACCATTTCTTTTATTTTATATTTCTCTGAACCAGCTAAGGTTCACAGAGCTCCTTTCCATAATGTGAGCAAGTATCATTTAGGGAATGCAAGTGAGATACAGAAGAAGCTTGGATGTTTATAGCTCAGCATTTGTCTTATTTGAACTTGATTTGGGGGTTAGCAGCCTGTGATCAACAGAAGCACAACTACTATGATTGGCTGAGATTCAATGTTACAACATTATACTAAGTTAAGCTCAGTTTACATAGTTAGGTTTCAGTTAATTAAAAGCTGGATTTAGTTTGCTACTGGCTAACTGCCTTGACAAGTAGAAGATATAGATGCTTCATTTGGCCCTAAATCTCAACATCATCACTCGTCACTTGCTAGGTGTTGGTCAAATTTTTCATCTTTGCTTTCTTTCTGAAGAACTGAGGATGAAAATATCCACATCATAAGGTACCATGGGAATTTAATTATAATGTAGAAAATTATCAGCACAGCATCTACTGTAATTACTGTTTACTATTCTTTACAATGAATATTTTTAATCAAGTGTTTTCCTCTTTTGAGTAAAAATAACCTCATGGCTTCTTACTAGTTATTCCTTACATACCCTATCATTGTTTTCTGTTCTTTCACTAGGTACAGTATAAGAGGTATGATGCAATTCTGAAGCGTCTACATTGCCAAGTGAACAAGCTTCAGTCAAATAGAAGACAATGGCAATGGAACATTTTACAGCTGGAAAAAACTGCAGCTGAACTAAGGAAATCTATAGGAATGAGCAACTAACATTGCCATAGGGAAACTGGATGGAGACCATGCCAAACAAAATTATAGAACAGAATATTTAATAAAATCTTTTGGTTTCTTAACAAGCAACCACTGTGTTGACGGATATATTTTCTCTTTTAAAAATTAGTTATCCATTGGTTAAAGTATTTTTACAACGTTATAATGAACAGCACTAGACAGACAATAGCAATCCTTACGGGAGAATAGTGGAAGAGTCTCTGTGAGTATTTCAAGTGTGCAGGCTATCTAGTATTCAAAATGTATATTTATAAAAATGCTGCATTTACAATATATTCAATACCCTATCAAAATTTAGAAGAAAATAAACAATTGAATTTTTAATGATTTAAATTGAAATACTAAAAATGGTTTCAAACTTTTCTATCACTGCCTTTATAGTAGTCTATAAATATTAATATTCACAATAATGTTATTATATGTTTAATACCTTAAACATTTTACTTTCCTTGTCCAAGAAATAGCAGCATTTTCTTTGTTGTTAAATAAATTTTAGAGTGTTGCAATGCATAAATTCTTTTGTTCATTTTTCTGTCTACAATTTGTTTATATCCTGTGACTAAAAGCACTACATCATATCAAACAAACATAAAATCTTAGAAGTGTTAACAACTAATATATATTGTTCATAGGGCAATAAATCAAAAATTAACTTGGCTTTTTAAGATAAAGTATTCCCTCTCATTACTTCTTTGAGTCAAATACAAGTTAAAGGTACAGTTTTCTGAGGTATAAAAAGTAAAGCCATATTAATATGCTGAGCTGTGAAAGGCTCAAGTCAACAACTTCTGACATTGCCAGTCCTATAGATAACCCACTACTATTGTGGACTACTGGACTATATTGGATTATTTTGCTGAATTCACACACTTACAATATTTAAATGGTAATGGAATACCCGTCTCTAACAAAACTAAACAAAAAAAGGGGGATACAAAGGAAGGATTATTTTGTATCTGCATATACAAAATAGGATAGATACACAGCTCCTTTCTCTTAATTCAATGAATAGAAAGATTTGTACTGATAGTATTTGGAGAGGATATCATGTCTGCATCTCGTACTATGAATAACCACTAAGAAGATAACTATGCAATGTATTAATCATTGAAACTGTCCTATTAATTGGTTTTTGAAATTGCCTCATTGCTATCTGTTTCTCAATAAAATTAATTTTAAAAGGTACAGTTTTCAAATAACCACTTGTAGAACTAAATGATTTCAAAGCAACAACACCAAAAAGATATTTCAAATTCACTTTGTCCTAACCTTTATATATGCCTGAGATTCAGTAAGAATGTAGTAGTTATAAAATCTGATATTAATAATCTCATTATGTCAGATGTTAATAGTCTTAGTATGGCTTAGCATGGCTCACTGTGGTTAATACTTCAAATGGCTTATCCTGTAACATAATCAGCTTTGGTCCGTGACTCAGAAACACAGCAGTGGATGAAAATGGTTAAGCCTACAGATTGTGGGGAATACCCATTCTACTCAGCTGAAAACAAGGCAGAACCAGATACTTATTATATGAATATATTTTAATATAATTTGTATGTTAATTTTCCATACTTTATAGATTTAGCTGTGGTTCATATGGAAAAATCCTAGTTATGTAAATTTTTTAAGTTTTTAATGGGATTCAAAATAGTTGTAGGTGGTAACTGATATGGCTTGTACCTAAATGTCCCCTCAAAGCCTGATGTGTGGAGCTTTTTGGAACTACTTGGATCTAGGATGTGATACTGGGATTAAAGGTATGTGGTACTAAGTTAGTCCGCTGATTGGTTTAACATAATTCTGGGTGTGATTGGCACCAATCAGTAGGCTTATCCTTGATAGACTATAAAGGCAGAGAGTGAAGGCAGGCCTCCTTGCTGCTTGCTGCCTTCTGTCCACCACATCATGAACTGTTTCTCCTCTGAGATGACCTCCTCTATTATGTTCTGCCTTGTATTGAGCCAACTATGAACTGAAACATCTACAAACTGTGAGCTGAAGTAAACCTTTCTTTAACTTGTAGGTGTTGCATATTTTGTGTTTGTAACAAGAAACCAAAAAACTTGCATGATAACTAACACCTTGAGTTATTGCTTCAAGAAAATGCAGTATGAAAAAAACTGGCTGCTAGAAGCAAAATGTGTCAATGGACAAAAGGGAGAAGTAGACAACCAGAAATGTCAGAGTGCAGTTTGGAGGTACTTACAAGTAGAAGCACAATTAAGGATGGTAGCAAGACCTGTGGGTCTCTGCAACTTGAGTCCAAGATTGAATACTTAAATGCATTTCACTGAAGTCATAGTGTATCTGGTTTTATCTGAATGAGAATGAAAGATGGTGGATATATTCCTGGCACTAACAGTGCCAAAATCCAGTCATAAAGCTCCACATACTATAATGCTTTTGTTCATCTCCAGTACTCTGGGAAACTACAGGGAAAATAGTCTCGTGTTTGGCAGTAGCAGTTATGACAGCTACAATTCAAAATGGCTATAGTCAGTTCAAGGTGAGCCCTAAAATTATATATCTGAAAGTTTTCTATTAAGATACAAAGCAAATAGGTTTACTGTGCTTCTACAACATGCCATATTTGAGAAAGTAATATTCAATGTAGGTTTTTAAAATACCCTTAATAGTAATATGCACATACTTTAAAATCTTATGACAGGGGCCAGAGAGATGGCTCGTGGAATAAGCGCTTCCCTAGCAAGCGCAAGGGCCTCAGTTCAATCCCCGGTTCTGCAAAAAAAAAAAAAAAAAAAAAAAAAAAAAAAAAAGAAAGAAAAAAATCTTATGACAGTTACATTACTTAAGAGAGAGAAAAGAGAAAATCCTCTCTCTAATCTTGAAAACTACATTGGATAATGGAGGTTTTCAGACTAAGTAAGAAAAATGAAATGTTTAGGTAACTGCAATCCCAATGATTTAGTAGATACACTATTTTAGTATAGCTATAAAGTTGAAAATCTGAAATAATTTTTATTTTCATATAATTAGACCCAATTTAGAATATGAGCTCTTCTGCTTAAGTTTTCTGTATTAGTGTCTTTCATTACATAACAAAATAATTGAGGCTGGGTACTTATACAGAAAGTGATTTATTTAGCTCATAGTTCTGGACACTGCAGGTCCAAACAGTACAGCATAACAGTACGACATCAACTCTGGGCTGGGATTTGCATTAATCAGCCTTTTATTACTCACCAACTACTTGATATATACAGTGTAATGGAGGAAAGGTTTTTGGTGCACATTTAGAGAATTCAGTCCATGACTGACTTGCTCAAAGACAGCAACATCATGGCAGAAGACTGTGCTGGAGTAAAGCTGCTCACTTCATGGTGACCAGGGAGAAAACCAGGGGAATAATTCCAGATAGGAAGGGGCCAGAGTCTCACTACAGTATTCAACATCACAGCACTATAACCACCCAGACACATCCAAGCCAATCAAATCAACAGCTAAGCTTAGCTATCACATTCACCTTCTGTCAACTTGACACAAAACACATCTCTTTAAGACATAATTAATGTCCAAATAAACAATTGTAACAAGTTAATAATTCTACCTAACATGATAGATGTATTCTGCATACAACTAAAAACTTGATAATCCTTTCTGTAAAATTTCAACAGTTCTAGCATTGTTCAAAAATCTAAAACTGTTCTAAGACTATGCAAACTCTTAGCTGTGAATACCTGTAAAACTCCATGTATCATGTGGCTAGCATATCCATCTTTCCAAGGTCTTCCCTGCCCTTCCAGTTTCCTTTCTGTAGCTCCTACATCCCTCACTCAGACACATGCTCCCTCGCCTCCCAGGATTGCCTATGAGATCTAGATGTTTCTATCACACACAACTCTATTGTTCTACATGCTTGAACAACAAGTGTCTGTGAATAAAGTCTAGGTCACCTGTTAGCTCAAGCTATGGCTGAACCCCATTGCATTATGGGTTCAGCAACCTCTGAGTGTCTGGATGGTTGAACTTGGTGAACTGAACCCTGGTGAACCAATTTTCTAGGTAGCCCTTCTGAAGAAGGGGATCCTGCAGCTCTCTTTGCAAATGAAATGTTCATACTTCTGCACTGTTGAATGACAACATGTCAGGTCATGATAATTTCCTAAGATGCCATCAAGGCAGTTTTCTTCTCATCCCAGTTTAAAGTACTTGTTGTTTTTTTTTAAATGGTTCTAATATCTTCAGCAATAACACTTTGTTTAACTCCAATTTTACATGCAATTTTTTTTCCAACAGGAGATTTTATTTTATTTTATTTTATT